AAAGTGCAGAGAAGAGCAACCAGGATGATGAGGGGACTGGAAACTGAAGACTGAAAGAGAAGAATGGTTGCAGGAACTGGGCCTGGCTGGTCTAGTGAAGAGAAGGACCAGGGGAGACAGGATAAGAGTCTTCCAATATTTGAGGAGCTGCCACAGAGAGGAGGGGGGTCAAGCTATTTCCCAAAGCCCCCAAAGGCCACACAAGGAATAATAATGGATGGAAACTTAACCAGGAGAGATTCAATCTGGAAATAAGGAGGAACTTTCTGACAGTGAGAACCAACCAACCCATGGAGCAGAAGTTGCCTTCGGAAGTTGGGGGAGCTTCATCAACGGAGGCTTTCGAGAAGAGGCCACTTGTCAGAAATGGTGTAGGGTCTCCTATTTGAGTGGGGGTTGGGCTAGATGACCTACAAGGTCCCTTCCAACACTATTAATCTGTTAAACAACCAGCACCGTCTCCATATTTGGACCCTGGCGACACTGGTTATCAGGGAGGGAAGTGTGATAATGGCCTATCAGATAAGCCCCGCAGCGAAGAGGGAAAGAGGGGGGGGGAGGCTGTTGGGAAGTCTGTTTGTGCTCAAGAGTGCTCCATAACCTTGGGAGCTCCGTATCTCTCTCTCCAAACTCCAGGCACATTCCTGAGGCACAATCTCCTTGCCACAGCTTCCTTGTGCGCCTACACACCTCCTCCCTGCTTAGGGACTCGGCTTATGCTGGCTGTTCCCAAGAGCCTGAAGCCAACTCCTGGTCCCGACAAAAACCCCTTTTAACAATTGACTGTGAATTCTGCTCATTCACACCCAGGCAAAGTCTTTCAAGGGAGGATTTAAAGTCACAGACCTTATCTGGCTTGGAGAGTTGCCAGGTTGATATCTGCAGAACCTGGCCAGGAGTCTCGGAGAGTCACTTACCAATGAAGCGAACTAATTGTCTCCTGCAAACTCCTCTCCCCTTTCGCTCCTCTTTTATTTCCTCTGGGAGGGACCAGTCAGCGTCCACCTGTGGCCTTACTCCCAAGTCGACCCTTGTTTTTCAACTGTTCCCTTCGTCTGGCCACTCTGCGCATGCACACACTGGGAACAGGCTCCAGCTGTTCTTCTGCCTCGCTGATGTCTGACTCTGAAGGCAGCTGATAATTGGCATACGGCCCTGGCCCCCTCTCCGCCTCCGACACAGAGCCCTCANGAAATTTTGAGTCGTTTGGAGAACCGGTAGCAGAAATTTTGAGTAGTTCAAAGAATCGGTAGCAGAAATTTTGAGTAGTTCGGAGAACCAGTAGCAGAAATTTTGAGTAGTTCAAAGAACTGGTAGCGGAAATTTTGAGTAGTTTGGAGAATCGATAGAAGAAATTTTGAGTAGTTCGGAGAACTGGTAGTGGAAATTTTGAGTAGTTCAAAGGACTAGTAGCAGAAATTTTGAGTAGTTCGGAGAACCGTCAAGAGAAATTTGAGTAGTTTGGAGAACCAGTACCAGAAATTTTGAGTAGTTCAAAGAACTGGTAGCGGAAATTTTGACTAGTTCGGAGAACCGGTAGCGGAAATTTTGACTAGTTCGGAGAACCGGCAAATGCCATCTCTGGCTGGCTCCAGAGTGGGGTGGAAATGGAGATTTTGCAGTATCCTTCCTCTGCCCCGCCCACCAAGCCCCATCCATCACGCCATGCCCACCAAGCCCCGCCCACAGAACGAGTAGTAAAACCATTTGAATTTCAACACTGGCTGAAACTCAGTTAGACAATTCTAATATCTGCATTAAATTAGCAGAGAGGTAGAGCTACCAAATCAGGCTACCAAAATCTGGATGACTGCCAATAGCAGCCAAGGGATCTGCAGCCACAATCTGCAGCCCAGATCTTGTAGGAGTAGTGGAGGTCACCTCAATGCTTTGGAAACCAATAAGTCACAGCCGCAATCTCTGATTAGGTGCTTTTTACCCAGGTGCCCTTTTAAATTGGTGCTCTTTACCTGTTGCCTTTTGAAATAATTGTGATATTAATATTGCTAATTGAGAGAGCCAGATGCCATCATCTTAGTTTTCTAAGATCTAAAAATCTAAACGGACATCTAAACTTTAAAAAAAACTAAGCTCATGGCATCCGGCCCTCTCAATTCCTGGCAAATACAGTAGATGGGGAAGAAATGGAGGTAGTGTCTGATTTTATTTTCCTGGGCTCCAAGATCACCGCAGATGGGGACTGCAGCCAAGAAATTAAAACATGCTTACTCCTGGGGAGGAAAGCGATGGAAAATCTAGACAGCCTGTTAAAAAGCAGAGACATCATCCTGCCAGCAAAAGTGCGTCTAGTCAAGGCTGTGGTTTTCCCAGTTGCAATGGACGGCTGGGGTTGATGAGTTCCCCTCCCCTCTCGACTTGTATGGCCGTATGACTCTTGTGTATTTTAAT